AGCTATAATTTACTACACCAAAATATTGTGCATGTTCTAATTTTAAGTACGATACAAAACATAAAAGACAATTTTGAAGAACAGATAGTGTGAAAAATACACAGCACTTTGCATAATATATTTAAAGAAATTATAGCTACTTTCTAAGCGTATTCTTGTTATTTCAACTAAATATTTAAATGCTTTTCCATATCCCCCTGCTATAAGAACAAAAAATTAGCAAACTTTCCTATCAGCATGAATATTAAGTAGCGCGGGAGCCCTATAAGGTAAGTTTGGAAAAGCAAACAAAGCTTCGGCGACCGTGCTATTTATTTCAGATTCGCGTACTCGAATTTCAGAATATCAAAAAATAGATATTTATATTTTCAGTATATCAGTATGCCTTATGTTTTTTGGTTTAAATCAGTCTCTTTGATACTATTTTTTAGCTTTATTGACAAATATAAACCAAAAAGTTGTTAACACCGATAGCTAGACCCGTGTATCCAAGAATGCTTAAATTTACTTTTGACATTTCTTCTGGCTCTGCCTTTACTTAATGTGGTCTTTTCATTAAGTTAACTGCAAGCCAAATTATTCTGGCACATGTAGTGTAGATAGGTGTGTTCTAAAAATAAAGCATGGGAGCACAAATCATTGTTTGGACAAGCACGAGCGTAGATAAGAAAATTAACTTTTTTTTCAGTTATACATATTTAACTAAACTTATTTTCGTAAGAAAAAGTGCAGACTGGGAGAAATTTGAGTGTTTTTTAGGCATGGACAATGTTTAGTCGAAACGACTCAAATTCGTAGACCGCCTCGTGAGCGGTGGAGGATCAACCTCGCAGCACGCCGAAGGTGGCAGCACACCGAGTTCACACAAAATTCATCACATATTCACATATGCAAGCGCCGGTCAATTTCTTTCTTACCTTCATCCTTTTTCTCCTTTTGTTTCAGTCGGTACAATTAATCGCTCTCGCGCCAACTCATTAGGTCTCTCTCTCTATACTCTCATTAGCTAGACTTTTCTCTCCTTCTTTATCATGCACCTACATCTCCATCTCCTTTGCTCCCATTAAGTGTCC